CCGGGTTAGCCCTCTGAACAGGAATCCCAACCCCCTCCCCCTGCTCTCTGTCACTGATACCTCCATCCCCATGGGTCACTGCTGGTGGCCACAGCTTTTAATCACATGCTGGGCCTCCAATGATTTATCACCCCTTAATAGTTTTTGTGTTGAAGATTCCCAGTTGGCAGCTCAGCTCCCCTTCTCCCCAGAGCACCAAAACCAAAGCAGAAAAATATACTGCCCATGTGGAGGGGGAATCAATGCTATTTAAGAAAAAAATCTGTCACTGGCAGGCATTTTTAGCAAATAATTAGTGACAGCATTAAAGACTCTAGGAATTATGCAGAAGTTATAAATTTCAATACTTGAAATCAAATTGAGAAGTTATTGTTTATGCTTTCACTTTGAACAGAGCAAAAATAACTTTTATCCATCCCAAGTTCTCCCTCCTGTGTCACAGATTCTGGCAGGAAGCAATTTCTTTGCACTCAGGTCCATCTCCTTGTCCGTTAGACTCTGTCTGATAGATCCAAGCAATCTGTCTATCTAATTTTCTCTAAAACAGAGAAGTAAACACACTTTAGCTGTGAGTTCCAAACACAGTTAACCTACATTGTGTGCTGCAGCCACATTATTTCAGCCACTGAAGAGAGTTCAACCATTCATTAGAGGTTTTGTTCCAGTCCATGGAAAAAAGCTAGGCCCTTCATACAAATGGGTCATATTTCACTCCTGCTTCTCTCCCACACCTCTCTCATGCTACTCAGTGGTCTAGTCTAAGAAACATAATGCTAATAGAAGAATCAGGTTGAAAAACTAAAGAAAGTAATACATTTCAGTGGCAAGCCTGCACCCAGAAAACCTGCAAATAAAGTCCAAAAGGCAAAGAAATTCAACTAGCCAGTCAAGTATCTAGGAGGGAGTTTATCCGACAGTGCAATCTGGTGTTTAATAGCTTCATCACCTGAGATTAAGAACACTAAAAAGAAACAACCAGTCACTTATTTTTCTATACTCATTGTCTCTTTTCTTTTTCTCTTCCCTTTTCCTACTCTTTCTTTCTGTAATAAATTTCTAGAAAAAATCTACTATGAACCTAGTGGAAAAGAGGACACTATGTCCTATTTCACAATGATTTTTTCATGAAGCAATAAATAAAATAAAAGGTGATTTGGAAAGTTCATCTGGGAAATAAAGAATGTCTGGGCTCCAGCTTTTCTGTGGCCAGTCTTAAAAAGTTGACAGTTGTCAACAGTCGTGAATGTAGTATCTCAGATTCCACAATTTCTCCATGCTTTTAAAAAACAAAAATAGCTACGGTTACTGTCTTATACTACATGTCTGTGGCAAATACTAATTACATGACGGTGAGCAGAGTACTAAATGCCATCAGCATTCCTCTCTCTCACCTCATTTTACATGCTATTATCATAATATATTTTCTGACTCCTTTAGAAAATAGCTCTGTACATAATTATCCTCTTTCAATAACTCCATTTTTACCTTTAGTCATGTGATCTTTGCACTTGTACTCTAATATGCCACTGAGGAAAATAATTATTTCCTATATAAGCTGGCCCCAGCTCGAAGACTGCAAAAGAAGGCAATTAAACATGCTAAAAGGCCTGTAACTAAAATCAAAATTAAGCTATGCCTACTGCATTTTCTAAGCCAGTGGAAGAGATGGCCTTTGGCTAGCACGAAAAATGGGCCGTGATCCCTGCCAAATCAAATTTGATCCCCAAGTCTGTTGCTGATTCACTGCCAAATATTGGACAGGTTCCTCCAAAACCTTTCAGACTGCCAAAGTGGTATAATAAATTAGTCTTACCTACCTCTCTTGTTGGGGAGGGAGAGGTATCTCAGTCTACATCCACAGTGGTGGGGCAGCTTATTGCCTCCCTGACATGCACTGAGATCTGCTCATCTCCAGTTGCCCACATCAGGGACTTGGCTTGAGCACGTCACTGCTGCCTTCCAACCCAGCTCTTGCTCCTTCTTGCTCCTGTGAAAAGCAAGGTGAGAGAGCAAGGGGATAGAGAACTGTTTGGGTCTTACCCAGACATGGAGCTGGGATGCAACCAGGACACAGGCTGACATGAAAGCCGAGAAACATATGCAGATGCCATATTTTAAGTATAGCCTTAACACTTTGGAGTTTCCTACATGGATGATGCTTACGCAGTAACTGTTATGTGAATAACGTATATCCCTGATACATTGAAACAAAATTTCTGTGGGCATAATTTCAGAGATACTGAGCACTCATAGCCGTAATCAAAATCACGTGATTCTTGGTGATTACCATCTCTTAAAAATAAGAAACTCTATGTTATAGAAGAAGATAAGTGACATTAGTATCTTAAAAACAGTACAGCACATATCTAAAGATGCCCAAATAGAAACACCATTAATTCAAGAAATATGGCAACACTACCTTAAAACAAGGGAGCACATACACAAAATATAACTTACCCAGGACAAAAGGCAATCCACATTTAACACAGAATTACAATACAGGCTGCCATCTCACATCCAGTCTTGAAGATCACAAGGTTTCTGATCAGTGATGGATCAATCAGAAAAGGCAGGAAGCGTAATTAAACCTGTTTCACTCAATTACAGTATATAGACAGCATTTTTGCATTATGTCATACAACTACCATTGCCCTACGTCGTAATAGGTGCTGGACAAATAGGTATATGTGAGAACAAGGGTAGGCCAGAAGCCTTATAAAGCAGAAGGCTTCTTCCTTACAGTTTCACCACTCATCATAGACTGAGATAGAAGCGTTAAAAGCTAAAGCTAATACACAGGAGGTTTGTTTATTGCATTGTACGGACCAAAGAAGAATTTCCTGCACGTGACACTGAAGGCAGCATGCACAAAAATTCCTCTGAAGCCTGCAGAGAGCGTTGAACAGACCCTCCTCTGTATTAGCCTATTTCTCACATATCTGTGTTTCGAATTTTAACACAGCTGTGGGGAGGAGAAAAAAAAAAAAGGAGGGAACACCAATAATCTTGCCAATTGGGCATTCAAATGTCAGAGACAAAGGCAAATTTGGTAAGGAGATGAGCTTGCTGCGGGCAATGACTGTGTCAGACGGTCAATGACATCACTCCCTGTGCTGTCTCCATCACAATTTTCCAGAACAGGATTACAGCGATGACAGATTCCATTCCAAAACTCCCAGGCAGCTCTTTACATAGATGTTAGCAGAACAAAAGCATTACAGGAGATTTCCTCTCTCCCTCAAATGGCATTTGATGTTCTCTAATCCTCACCTTGGGAAAAGCATTCGAGAACCATATGGACCTGCTGAAGTCACACAGGATGTGTTGTCTCATAGTTAAAACTTACAAATTAAGGAACCACTATGAGGCAGAGAGGGCAGAGAAAGTAGTTCTTGTCTTTCTTTCCAAGAAGAGGGCAAGGATACCCTCAAAGCTACACATCACATTCAGGTGCAATCACTACGCTTTCCAAAGACAGCTACTCTTGTGACTTAATAGGGTACAATAAGGAGTAGAAAAACAGGGGAAAAAAAAAAGTTTTCTGCTGGATTAGAAACTTCTTCAGTAGCTGTAGAGAAGGGACAAAAATAAAAATTTTCTTCTATTTTCCTATTTAGTCCTCAGCTTGTAGAGAACTACACTCATAGCTGGTTGAATACAGATGTTTGGGGAGTCACAGCATTCGACATTTGGAAGGAAGCTTTCATTAAAACTTAACGGCCCAGATTTTCATTCATTTTAATTTTAACTAAAATTGACCAAGTAGTAAACAATTCATGTGTTTAGTTAATTTAGTTCCCTTTTCTAATTGTGAATCATCTACTGACTTGTAGTGTTGTCTTTATGTTAGTCAATTAATATCTTTTCCTTGTATGGAAATTCAAAATCATATTTTTACCAATTGCCAGTCATGTCATCTTAAATACCATCACCAGCTTTAATTGTGTGCAATTTGCTGTTTCACCCTTCACCCAAGTAGAAGTGTTTTCTTCTCCTTCACGGGATGATATCCAATGAGCAAAGAGCTGTCCAAGGAGCAGTTAAAATCACATTTTCAAAATCAGCTGCATGCAGTTGTGCACAGTTTATCCTATTTTTATGCTCTGTACACGACAGGAACAACCAGAAACTTAAAGCAAATAAATAAAAACAACAGCATACATTCTTTTAGAGTTACTGATTTTTAAAATTACCTTAAAAATGTTATAGCTCTATCATTTTCTCAGATTTCTTAGTTCTTATACCTCTCCACTGGTATTCAGTTAACGGAAAAATCAAAGCAAGTTTAACAGGTGTTACTGTAAAGAATCTTTTACATATGAGACAACTGTTTCATGGTCATTAGCTAAGTATGTCTTGCGGCTCGGAAGCACACTTGAAAGTTTAGATTTCTTAGATTACCCAGTGCTCCATTCCTTGCACCAGCCTCTGCTTCATTAACAGCAATAAAGACAAGCTGTATGTTTCAGATATGAATTCAGATGAAAATTTCTCCTAATTCAGTACTAACAATTGATGCAGACCCATCTCTGCTTGTTATTGTATAATTCTGCTTTGGTCCTCTGTTCTGTTCTGGGTGAATTCTGGTATTTCTGCAGCGTGATGAAATGAATTTAGATAAACAGCACAGCTACTGGCAAGCTGCCTACTCCAAGAGACTCGGGCACTTTTTGCATTGTTACAGTGACATCCCAACTCCCCAGTTTATCAGTGCAGACAACATACTCATAATCCTTTGAAAAGTACAAGGAACAGTAGCATTTCAGAAAAGTTTTTACTTTTAACTGCAAGCAAATCATTGTATAAGAAAACATTACATTGCCTGGCATTAACAGGCATGTCACTGCAAGCAAAAATGTTTCACATCTTGGGTAGTTTGAGAAGCAGACAAATACCACGGCTATCTTTTTCTTCTTATGTCCTTCTATAATTGATCTCGAGCTAGGAACTTTGCATTCCAGCAGAAGCCTGGATTAAAAAACTAGACCAACAACAGTCAGCCATCAATCTTGAGGCCATCTACCCTATCTACAACCATTTGTATCAGCCATTAGCTGTTTAGTAACTCCAAGCCTCAGCCAAAGAGATCATCT